TGGGTTTTGTTTGGAGGAATCCTTTCCGTGACTGGAAACTCCTTGCATCCAGCCGCCAAATTGTCACTCATTCACTCACATTTGGGGGTGAAATATACACACACACGGAAATGCCCGGATGGTAAGTGCTCAGGGCCATGCATTTCCCACGGTGAGCGCGGCCATGCGACTTGCACCCAGACCAGGGAGCGGGACCCCCTGGAAGCCCTCACCTTTGCAGTGGCTGCTCACGCTGACCCCCCGCAGGGACAGACCAGATCTTTTTTTATTTTTTAATATATTTTATTGATTTTTTACAGAGGAAGGGAGAAGGATAAGGAGTTAGAAACATCGATGAGAGAGAAACATCAATCAGCTGCCTCTTTCACACCCCCTACTGGGGATGTGCCTGCAACCAAGGTACATGCCCTTGACCGGAATCGAACCTGGGACCCTTGAGTCCGCAGGCTGAAGCTCTATCCACTGAGCCAAACCGGTTAGGGCCAGACCAGATCTTGACTCCAGCAGCAGAGGTTGGCCTCGCACGCTCATCGTGTCGTCTGTATATATCATATATATATACGTATATATATGGTATACTATTATAACCGTGGCTCAGTTACTCTGGTCCCGGTAGCAGGTAGTGTCCCCAGTGGCCACACTGCCCGCTCTCCTGGGCGTCTGGGCTGCTGCCCCCTGCTGGCCATTACTAGCCTCACTCCCTTCTGCTCGGCAGTTGGCGTTTTAAGTCACAGTTCCTCTGCGTTGGCACGACTGTTCTTGGTTTCTGGGCCCTGTGGCAGGTGCGGAAATGGCCAGGTGACCCCGAGCTGGAGCCCGCTGGGCGTGGACGGTGGGCAGATCCTTACCTGGCCAACTGGGGTTCTTGGTTAACTTGCTTTTTCTGCTTGTGCTCTGACCCCTCCTGCTCCCTCTCCGCCTGCCCTTCCATCCAGTCGCCTACACACAAGATGAAAGACTCCAGCCCGCTGAGCAGCAGGAAGTTCTCGGAGAAGATGCACTTCCAGGCCATCCACAGCGAGCCTCCCGAAGCGTTTAGCGACCCGTCGCCGCCGCTGGCCGAGGCGCCGCCTCCGCAGCCGCTTTCGGAGCAGAGCAAGTCTCAGACCGAGATGCAGTTTGTGAATGAGGAGGACGTCGAGGCCTTGGGAGCCGCAGCCCCGCCCCTGCCTGCCACCGAGGAGCCCAAAGCCCTCTCCGCCCTGGCTGCGAGCAAGACGGACTCGCCGTCTAGGAAGAAAGGTGCGGACGAGGCCGCTTCCCGCCCCTTCTGTGCCCGTGGGCGCTGCAAGCTCCGGTCCTGCCTCCAAAGCTCAGAACACGGACCCGTGACGTCGGTCCTGTCCGGTCCCTGCCCTTTTGCCGAATATGTTAGTGAAGAGAATTTAGTCGTAGACAGTGAGACGTGAAGGAGGTCTTGGGGGGTCGTGTGGTGAACCCTCACTTCACAGTCCGGGCCCTTCTGAGCTCCTCTGAACACCGGGCTTCAGTGGGTTCCCCAGAGGCGCTTGGAGGTCAGAGGTTGGAGGTCAGAGGTTGAGGGTCCCTGGGCACGGCTCTGACCTGCTCCTTTGCTCCTTTGCAGACAAACGAAGCCGGCACCTGGGGGCGGACGGCGTCTACCTGGACGACCTCACAGACATGGATCCCGAAGTGGCCGCCCTGTACTTTCCCAAAAAGTAAACCTTCTTATTCCTCGGGCCGTGTTCCGTGATCTGAATAGGCTTCAGTGGGTTCCCCAGAGGCGCTTGGAGGTCAGACATTGGAGGTCAGAGGTTGGGGGTCCCTGGGCGCGGCTCTGACCTGCTCCTTTGCTCCTTTGTTTGCAGACAAACGAAGCCGGCACCTGGGGGCGGACGGTGTCTACCTGGACGACCTCACAGACATGGATCCGGAAGTGGCTGCCCTGTATTTTCCCAAAAAGTAAACCTTTTTATTCCTCGGGCCGTGTTCCGTGATCTGAATGGGAATCTGTGCGAGTTCACTTTTCCTCCGGTTTGATTTGAGAGCGAGAAGAGGTGTCCTGACAAAAGCAGCCAGTACAGAGCGGGCTTTCTCTGTAGACGTGGTGGTGGTGGGGGATCTCCATGCGGCTGGCTTCCTGCCGTCGGAGCGGGAAGGAGGCAGGAGGCTGTCTCCCCTGATGATGCGGAGGTTGTGTGTGGTGGTCTGTGACCCACCGATGACCCCGAGGTCGCGTTGTGGTGGTCAGTGACCCACAGCCCGATTCCGTGGCAAAGGCAGCAGTTGCGTGGCCCTCTCTCCGCGGGAGGGTCCGTGGCCCATCCTTAGTTCCAGGGTTTGCAGGGAGGGCCAGGTCCACGGAGGGTGAAGCCCAGAGCTGTGGCCTCTGAGGAGTGTGCTCGATCCCCTGTCTCTATGGCTTCCCGCCGTCGGAGCGGGAAGGAGGAGGAGGCTGTCTCCCCTGATGATGCAGAGGTTGTGTGTGGTGGTCTGTGACCCACCGATGCCCCCGAGGTCGCGTTGTGGTCAGTGACCCACTGATGACCCCGAGGTTGCGTTGTGGTCAGTGACCCACTGATGACCCCGAGGTTGCGTTGTGGTCATTGACCCACTGATGATGCCGAGGTCGCGTTGTGGTCAGTAACCCACTGATGACCCCGAGGTTGCGTTGTGGTGGTCTGTGACCCACAGCCCGATTCCGTGGCAAAGGCGGCAGCTGCGTGGCCCTCTCTCCGCGGGAGGGTCCGTGGCCCATCCTTAGTTCTCCTGGGGTTTGCAGGGAGGGCCAGGTCCACGGAGGGTGAAGCCCAGAGCTGTGGCCTCTGAGGAGTGTGCTCGCTCCCCTCTCTCCACGTGGGTTTGGGGGGGATGCAGGGGATGTGGGAGCAGAAGCTGACTGTGCTCTCTGCTCGGAAAGCCTTCAGCTGGTCTTTGTTTGGTGCTTTAATGAGAAGTCCGTCCCGGGATGGAGCCATTTGCTCCGTGGGGGTCTCGGATTGGAGTCCTTTCACGTGTGCGTGAGACCCCAGACCAGGAGACTCCTCAGAACACCTTCCCCTCTTCCTCCTTCCAGCGGGGACCCTTCTGCCCTCCCCAAACATGCCGACAACGGAGCCCGGTCAGCCAACCAGTCCCCGCAGTCCGTGGGCAGCTCTGGGGCCGACAGTGGTGTGGAGAGCACCTCCGACGGCCTGAGGGACCTGCCGTCCATCGCCATCTCCCTCTGCGGCGGCCTCAGCGACAACAGGGAGATCACCAAAGGTACTGGCGCCTCGGAGCTGGTCCTCAGGCCAAGAGCACCCTCTGGTGGCGGCTGCTCAGAACGCCCGGAGGCCTGGCTTCCATCCTTAGTTCCAGTCCGGCTGCCTCCTCTGCATTTGGTGAACAACAGCACATGTGACTCACTGTTGCTCACGACTCACCTGCTGCTGGCTTGCCCCTGGCGACCTTGGCTTGCCCTCGGCGACCTTGGGTTCTGGTGTTCACACGGGGCTTCAGGCAGCAGCCAGGCCACCGGGGTCGCTGGTTGTCAGGCGCGCCTGCTGAGCCCGCCGTGTGTCCTTGCCCCGTGCCAGTCCTTCGAGGCGTAGGGCCTGCAGCCCCGTGGGGGAGGCAGTGTTAGGGGACACCGTGCACTGGAGGGGTGGGGGCAGCAACGCTGTGGGTGGAGGAGGGGCCCAGCTGGAGCTGAAAGGTGCTCCCAGGTTGGCATAGGGGATGAATGGATTCATGGCGTCCATCAGATTCATAAAGTGAGGTCCCAGTCCCCGCAGTTACACGGTGAGGTGGCCCAGGATCCCAGCCAGTGCAGCCGCCATTCCCCCTGACATTCCCCGAGGAGACCTGGGAACTCACTCCCACCCCCGCTGTGGTCTGAATTGCTCGCAGGGATCCTGCACTTTTCCCGCTGCCTCTCATGAGCCTCCTTCCTGCCCCGAGATGCCATCCTAGATCCTGTCTCCTCCTGAGCTCCCTTCAAGCTTTGTGGATTGCTTCCCACCAGAGACTGGGGCCCCTTATTCTGCCCTTATTCTGGCACCTGACCCCGCTGATCATCAACGCTGTGGGTGGAGGAGGGGCCCAGCTGGAGCTGAAGGGTGCTCCCAGGTTGGCGTAGGGGGTGAATGGATTCATGGTGTCCATCAGGTTCATAAAGCGAGGTCCCAGTCCCCGCAGTTACATGGGGCTCCCTGCCAGCTCTGAGCGTGTGAGGCTGGGTCAGCAGCTGGGCCTCACGTGGTCCCCTGCCCTTCCTGGGGGTGACGGTGGTCAGCACCCTGCCCGCTGGCATTGAGCGAGCCCTTCTGTGAGGCAGGACACTGCCTTCCGCGCTCGCCCCCACCCATCCTCACAGTCCCCGTGGCAGGCGAGGGAGCTGAGGCACCTGCCCAGGGTCACAGCAACGCTTGTCACTTAGACCTGCTTCCCCAGGTGTGTGTGCAGACTGTATTCCCACCCCCGCCCCGCAAGCTTAGGAACCCTCTGAGGGGACGTTTCCCCACATCCTCCCTCCGCCCGGCCTCCCTTCGCTCTGCACAGATGCTGCCCGCAGACAAGGTGAAGGTCCTGCCCTTACAGGTGCACTCGAGGACTTCCCGCACAGGGGCACGCACAGGGAAATGTGTAAACTCTCAGGAAGCTCACGGGAGCGCGAGCCAGTGAAATAGGCCTGTTCTTTGAACCAGATTGTCCTTATCTCTCCCTCTCCCCTGCCATTGCTTCCCAGACGCGTTTTTGGAACAAGCCGTGTCGTATCAACAGTTTGTGGACAACCCCGCCCTCATCGACGACCCCAACCTGGTGGTAAAGATCGGGAACAAGTACGTTTCTCCCGCGTCGTCTTGGTGGTGGCAGATGCCCGTTCGGTGTCAGCTTTCCAGACGGAGACCTGGACGGGAGCCGCAGGCACTGTTCTCCACGTGCATTGTTTGCTATGAGTCTGTGTTCAGCTGTGTGACTGTCAGCGCGCTGTGACAGTGACTGGCGCTCTGTGGCTGGTGGGCTGATGGGATCCTGGGTCTTGTGGGTCCTAGTGCTCACCTGCACCGGATTTTATATGGAACGTGTGCAGTCCTGGGCCTGGGGGACTTGGCCCGAGTGGTCCACGGGGGTGACGGAACGGGCAGCGTGTCCCCCCTTGAGAGCCGGGTCTGAGTCGGGCGGGCAGGTGTTTTGTAGATGCTGCCGGACTCCCGGAGGAAGGCGTGAATGTCTGTGTGTTAAGCTCGGGGCCCTGGTTGCCTTTTCCTCGAAGTCTGGCCGGCGATGCCACAGGCCCTGCTGCCTGGACAGCCGCTCACCCCGCAGTGCGGCCACTGCAGGGGGGACATGAGGGGAGGCTGGGGTGCAGGCAACAGCTTGGGCTCTTCATGGACCCAGCTGGAGTTCCAGAACCTTTCACGGCCACGCCTCATGACATTGGCTTTTCAGTCTGGCCTTGGGTCTTTTCAAAGTTTTTTTTTTTTTAAATTATATATATTTTTATTGATTTCAGTGCAGAAGGGAGAGGGAGAGATAAAAACATCAGTGATGAGAGAGAATCATGGATCGGCTGCCTCCTGCACGCCCCACACTGGGATGGAGCCTGCAATCGGGCAGGTGCCCTGACCGGGAATCTGTCTGTGAGCTCCTGCTTCATAGGTGGATGCTCAACCACTGAGCCACGCCGGCCGGGCAGGCCTTGGTCCTTTGACGCTTCTTTCGTTGTTTCCTGTAGGTATTATAACTGGACCACGGCAGCCCCTCTGCTGCTGGCAATGCAGGCTTTCCAGAAACCTCTGCCAAAGGTGAGCTTGAACCCGAGAAAGACAGGGACACCAGAAACATGGGCGGTTGGAATTTAGATTTTATTTTTAAAACCACAAAGTTAATTATGTTGGGCTCTTTCAAAGTTCCCAAGCATCAGGGTCAGGGGTTCGAATCTGCTTCTCTTGCCCCTCAGAGGCCACGGCTTCCCTTGCACCCTCTGTGCCCTTAGCAGGTGCTCGTCTGCTTCGGTGTCAGAGAATCCTGCTGCCTGGGCTCCCCAAGGTCTCATCTGACCTTGGAGAGTGTGCGCTCGCTCCTTCCTTGTGTGCGAGAGTGCGTGTGAGTGTGTGTGCGTGTGAGTGTGTGTGCGAGTGTGAGTGTGTGTGTTTGAGTGTGTGAGTGTGTGAGTGTATGTATGAGTGCGTGTGAGTGTGTGTGCTAGTGTGAGTGTGTGTGCGAGAGTGTGTGAGTGTGACAGTATGTGTGTTTGAGTGTGTGAGTGTGTGAGTGTATGTGTGAGTGTGTGTGAGTGTGACGTGCGCTCGCTCCTTCCTTGTGTGCGAGAGTGCGTGTGTGTGTGTGTGTGCGAGTGTGAATGTGTGTGTGAGAGTGTGAGAGTGTGACAGTGTGTGTGTTTGAGTGTGTGAGTGTATGTGTGTGACAGTGTGTGCGAGAGTGTGTGTGCAAGTGTGTGTGAGTGAGTACATGTGCGAGAGTGTGTGTGTGAGTGTGTGTGACTGTGAGTGTGTGTATGTATGAGTGTGTTTGATGAGTCTATGCTTGTTTGTGTGTGTGTGAGTGCATGCGAGTGTGTGTGAGTGTGCACACGAGTGTGTGTCTGTGAGTGTGAGAGTGTGAGTGTGTATGTATGAGTGTGTTTGATGAGTCTATGCTTGTTTGTGTGTGTGTGAGTGCATGCGAGTGTGTGTGAGTGTGCACACGAGTGTGTGTCTGTGAGTGTGAGAGTGTGAGTGTGTATGTATGAGTGTGTTTGATGAGTCTATGCTCGCTCCTTGTGTGTGTGTGTATATGAATATGTGTGTGTGAGAGAGAGTGTGCGTGTGTGGGTGTCTGATAAGTCCATGCTTGCTCCTTCCTTGCGTGTGTGTGTGTGTGTGTGTGTGTGTGTGAGATTGTGTTTTGGGATTTGGGGATTGTGACCTATCTTTGGGGGACTTTATCTGTGAGCATTCTGCGTGCCCTGGGCGGAGGGCTTGCTTTCCTGGGTGGTTTCGTTTTGTCTTACCAGGTTCCTCACAGTGTCCGTGGCCTTGGACGCATGTTTATGTTACACACTTCAGCTCTTACAATTCAGTAAGAGAAAGGATGAGCGCCATGGAAACGCTGCTAAAGGATTTAGTTTACAGACCAGGAAATGCACACGACTTCTAAAGGGAAAAAAATGCGTCTTTGTGATGCGCATCCTCAGTCTGTTTACAAGCGTGTCAGTAGCTCTGACGATCTTTGTGGCGTTTATCTAACGGAGGGTTGTTCTTATGTGCAGAGCCTGTCAGTCTTCTGCAGCTCTCGGGTTTTGTGTCCTGTTCGGAATGGCCCTGCTTGCCCGTTTCCAAAGCCTGTGGAAATGTGCCCGTCTCTTCTTCTAGTACTTTCTTCGGTCTTCGATCCATCGAGATTTTATTTGGAGAGTGATGGGTGAGGCAGCAGGAACCCAGCCACTTTCTCCAGCTGGTTATTGCGTTGGGATGCGTTGGTTGCAGGGACCAGGGACGACGAGTTGGTTAAATAACAGGGGTTTCCATCGCACATAGTAAGACTCTCAGAGGCTGGTGGTCCCGGGCTTGACGAATCTGGGTTAGCTTCTCTGGGATTTTCTTGGCTTTCCCTTCAGGATCACGAGGTGATGGTTATCCGCGTCACCTTATGCAGCCACATCCAAAGTAGGAGGGATGGAGGCAGACCTCTCCCATTTCATTGGCCACTTGGCCACATGCTCACCTTCCAGTCGGCTGCTGGCAAGACAGCGGCTGACTGTGAATGGTGCAGACCAGTTGAGGTTTGTTTTCTGGATTGGAGGCTGCCTTCCCGAGCGGATCGAAGCCTGATCCTCGAACAGAGTTTAGGGCGTGTCGGCAGGAAAGTCAGAAAGGAGGTGATGCCCCACGGAGGCAGCTGGCAGGGTTGGCACAGCTGCCCGGTGACCCCAGAACCTTTCATTCGATGCCTCTTGCCCCCCTGACAGGCAGTTACAACTTTACCATCTAGTGCATTTCTCTGTGACTTTACATTTATTTCTGAACATTGTCTTTTGCCCTTTAATAGGTTTATTCATGTACCAACTGCATTTTGAAAAGTCACTGTGGTTTTAAATATACTTTACTATTGAGTAAGGCTTTGTCTTCTTACTACCCTCCCGAGAATAGTCTTGGCTATTTCTGTGTGTTTTCCCCACGAACTTGGGAATCCGCTTGTCTAGGTCTGACAGGAGTCCTGTTTGGCGTTTTTCATTGGGGTCTGACCTTGACAGGCGCATTAGGAGGGGTAGGTGTTCCACCTCTTTACGGGGGCCTGTTCGTGAAGGGGGTCCGTGCGGTTTGCAGGTTGTGGGTTTTTGTGTGTTCAGGTTTTGCTGTGTGTCGGGTGGGAGTGTTTTAAATGATAAAAAAAAGCACACTTCCGGCCAAATATGTGAATCGCTTATCTTTCCACTTCCCTGCAACCTGTTTGGTTGAAAGACCAAATCCTTCTTTCATTCCTCGCTGATGGAAGCTACCTGGAACAGTTCTATAAAGCGAGGAAGGGAAATGACCTTGACCTTGGGGCTGGAATTAGCCTCGGAGATATTTTGTTCTTTGGAAAGACTTAGAAAACTGTTAGTTATTATGGAATCTCCCCCCATCAAACTTCCATGTCTTTAGGGTCAGCGTGTGATTTTTTTTTAACAATTGAGATTTTAAATGCTAATGTTCAGTTTGTCGAAATGTACATTCGCTAACACCATCCTGTGGCTTTTACCCCATGTTATTAACATGCCCATAGAATCACTTCATTTCTTTATTTTATAACGATCACATCGAGAGTAACAGCACCTTAACCAGCCAGCCACTGTAATTTGAAAACTTGCGGTCTGACTAATCACTAATGATTCTCAACGCTTTCTCTTTTTTTTTTTTGTTGTGTTGCATCTTTTTGTTGTTCGTTTATTCCTTTGGCATCTTCTTAAGTCTTCATGCCTAAGTTACCTTCACGCGATTTTGGACGCCATTAGGTTTTGCTTCTCGAAAATTTTTAATTCACACGTCGTATGTTGTGCTTCCTCTTATTTGTTTGTTTGAACCTCACTTCAGTTTGCATGTGTCTTTTGGTTTGACTGTGCTGAGTTGATCTTCTTTTGGTTCCGTTATTTATGTTGCCATCCATTTAAAACAGGCCACGGTGGAGGCGATCATGAGGGATAAGATGCCCAGGAAGGGAGGAAGATGGTGGTTTTCGTGGAGGGGAAGAAGTACCACTATCAAGGAGGTAAGCGTGGAGTGCCAGGGAGCGTCTGGGCGTAGCTCAGTGCGTTTCGGAGTTTCTCAAGGTCTTCCTCCACCGGCATCCGCAGAAGCCGGAACACGGAGCTTTCAGGAGCCCGCCCCGCCCCGGGGTGGGAGGGCATCATGGAGCGAGCGGAAGCTGGAGGAGTAGGGCCCGAGGGGAGGGGGGCCGAGCAGAGAGCTGGCCTCACCTCCTCGCTCTGCTGCCTCTCAGCTCGGAGACCCTGGTCCAGTCACACTTTGTAAAAAAGTATTTTATTGATTTCAGAGAGGGAGGGAAAGGGAGAGAGAGATAGGAACATCAGTGATGAGAGAGAATCACTGATGGGCTGCCTCCTGCACACCGCCCCCTGGGCATCAAGCCCACACCTGGGGCATGTGCCCTGACCGGGATTTGAATCATGACCTCCTGGTTCGTAGGTTAACGCTCAACCACTGAGCCATATACCAGCGGGGCTGGTCCAGTCACTCTTCATCTGTAAAAAGAAGGGATTCAACCTGATAGTGAACCTTTTTTCAGGTTAAATATTTTCCTCTGCGTGTGAGGATCGTTTCAGTGAGGTATACTCACGGCTGTAGGCTAATCACCATCAGCCCGTACTTTAGTGGTGTGTCGGGGTACACGTGGCTTTGCTTTCCATCGCTGTAAATGCCTGTCCCTGTTTTCAGACCTTTGTCTGCCTCCCAGCCTGTCCTCCCATCATTCTCTCTGCTCCCATGCCACGTGTCCCCCGGCTTTCCCCTCGGGCTCAGCCCCCCACGAGGGTTCTCAAGGGTTGTCTTGGGGTCCCCTCTTCCGCTTCGATTGCCTACTTCTCCCTGGGCAGCCTCACCCACGCCCCCATGAGGACCCCGTTTCATTTCCAGACCAGACATTCTTTTATATTCGATGCCCATTTAGCAAGTGGCCAACTAGGTAGGCATCTCCATGCGATTGCTTCAGGACACCTCAGGCCTGTCGTTTTTAATACTGAGCTCACAATTTTCCTGCCAGTTTCTTTGCTGGACCATATTCAGAAAGCGGGGTCGCTGCCCACCCACAGGCTCGACACTTCCCTTTCCTCACTCTCACTTCCGTCCCCCGCCAGGTCCACCACTCACCATCCCAAGTATTTCTCAGATTTTCCAGTTCTCTCCACCTTCATTCCCACACATCGAGGCTGCCGTGATCTCTCCCAGGATCGCTTCCAAATGAACTGCTTGGGTCTGTTGTTGCCCTCTCTCCATCCTTCATACTGTAATCACAGTGTTCTCTTTAGGAGACTGGTCCAGTTTATGCTGCTCCCGCCTTAGAGCCTTGTGGTGCGTTCCCAGGGTTCTTCTAATTAAGATCCCCGTCCTTAACATGGTCACAGGACTTGGGTACCCCAGTCCCTGCTCCCTCTTTAGCCTCATCTTTTGCATTCTCTCCCCCGTCCTCTGGGCTTAAGCGTCACTGGCTGAAAGCACATTCTACCCCAGGACCTTTGCACGTGGTGTTTCCTCTGCCTAGTGCTCTTAGGACCCTTCTCGTTCCTCTTCCTGAATTAGCTGGCAGATTAGTCTGCTCTGCCCTTCGCTGCTCTCAGAGCCAGGCCTGTGAACTTTTCCTTCATTCATGACTTTGTCAGGGTTTGTAATTATACACATATTAGCGTGGGTATTGGGTGAACACCTTTTCCCCTCTAGGCCCCTACCCCCAGGGAGGCCGAGACCATGTGCCTTTGATTCCTGGGTGTCCCCAGTGCCCACATGGGACCCAGAGCGGGGGTCAGGCAGATACTCGTTGGGGGAATGCTGATCGCTTTTGGAAGAAACCCCAAGGACAACGGCCAGGCTGGTGGTTAGAAGAGTAAAAGCAACCTCAGTGAGCTCAAGTTCTGTGTCCCGTTAGTTCAAAGGGAGGAAGTGTTGGGAGGACCTTATGGAGATGAAGTTGTTCTCCGCCGTCTCCTGCTCGCAGACCTGAGCTTACTGACTGTTCCACTATTCCCAAGGCACCTAACCAGGTTGGAACAAACACGTGCTTTACCTCAGGAGACAGAAAGCTTGGGGGCCTCTCTAGGTCCCTACAAGAGGGCAGCCTGTTGTAGGATTTAGGCAGACGGCTACTTCAGAGACCTGTTCATTGTAGAGTATCCGGTTTCTCACCAGTTTGGGTTGAGGGGAGTGCCAGCATGAAATAAGGAATAGTTAGGACATTAAATATTTTTAAAATAAATGTACTTATTTCAGATCAATAGCTATTTAGGAACCAGACTAACAAAGGATCGTTAATCCTGAGTTACCTGCCTCAACAAATAGATGAGAAATTACCAGGCATGTTATCACACCGATTATTTATGTGCCTAGAAAAAGCTAAAGAATGTTTCAAAGAACTTAGAACTCATCCTATGTTGAGATGCTCACCTGCTGTTGTATTTTTTATATCAGATATTTTTTAAATATTAAAAATTAACCTACCCCCTGAGCAGATGACCACAAATGAGACTGAATTGAACATCCTCTGTCCTCTGACACTCCTGTCCGGCCTCTGACCTCCCGTGGCCCGTGGGACGTGGTGTCTCCTTTCCTCGTGGCTGTGGGCTGGCGTTGTATTCACCCGCAGCATCGCGGCCCTCGTGGCAGCGTTAGGGGTGGAGGTCCCCTCCCAGTTCACAGGCAGGAGACCAGGCTCTGGGGCTCCGTGACTTGCCCCCGGATCCTACGCGAGAGAAGGGGACCGGCCCAGATCCCTCAGAATCCCGGGGCGCCCCCGTCCATCGGAGCGTTTTCTATTAAAAGTAGGCAGCATTGAGAAAGAGCGACTGTGTCCACATTTTCCCAAGAAAATACGGTGTGAGAATATTTCAGGCGCCTCTATCAGCAGTTATGAGGACACATTCTGAGAGCCCTCGTGTCTCCAAGCAGCCCTCGATGCCGCCTTTGCACAAAGCTACAGCGATGATGAAGTGTGGCTCGGTGCCACACACACTTGTGGAGAACACTCACTTCTGTTCTCAGCTTCATTGTGTACCTACGTGCAGAGGGCTCGCAGGGCCCTGCCTGCCCGGGGCAGTGCCGTGGGGGAAGGCTCTGGGCCCTGGCCTGGGCTCAGGGGGTGCCCATTGGGGCCCCCAGCCCTGTTCTGGGCTTCTCTGTGGTGCACCCTCATCTCCTTTCTTCTCCAGGAAAGTAAGCCGGAGCAGGGCCTGGCTGGCGAGAGCCACAGCACCGGGGAGCAGCCGCCGCCGCTCAGCATGGCCACCAGGTACCGTGCCAGGCGGCTTGGGGTGGCAGCGCCTTTCCGGTTCCAGGGCCAGGGCACAGGCCTGGTGGGTGCTGCTGGCACAGTGCTTGCCGAGCACCACGGCCTTGGACCCGGTGGACCCGGTGGCGGGCCTGGGTTCCACCGGCTGTCGTTTGTTGAGGGACATGGAGCAATGTGTTCGGCTTCCCACCAATCAGATGGAGACGGTCGCTCCCTTAGCTACTGATTTCCAGAACCAGCGTGAGGCTGACGTGGAATGTAACCAGCGCACTCTTGGTTCTGGCCGCGCGAGAGCAGCGGTGACAGTGGTGGTGGCGATGGCCGCTGACAGGGGCAGTCCCTTTCCTCCCGAGGAAGCGGCCTTCCTCTGTGGTCCCCACGCCAGGACTTAGGCTGCTTCCTTTCTGCATGGTGATGTGGGTCCCTGTGAGCCTGGCATCGGAGGCGTGAGATGTAGGTAACGCTGGCCAGCGTTAGCCGAGTTTCGTATTCGAGTGGATCTGTCTGCGGGATCAGGGGTAGCTCTGCTCTGCGGGCAGTGCCATCGCCGCTCACGCTTCGGCTGCTGCGTATGGACACAGAGCGGGTCCCACCCCTCCTGCCATCGCCTGGCCTGGCCGTGCTCCCGGCGTAGGCAGCGGGATGGCGCTTCTTACTACTCAGCGGGCAGGGAATGCTCACAGTTAACTGAAGGCGAGATGCGTATCCTAGTCCTGATCATTTTTGTGCCTGGGAGGCCCAGCCCATGCCGACACGTGGCAGGCTCTTCATCGAGGTGGTTGGGCTGTCACTGAGCTGATGCGATGCCCCCAGTATGTTGTTGCTTCGTAGGAGAGCTGGGCTCAGAGTTCAAGTCCTCAGACTCCCTCCCGGCCAACGCCGTCTCCCAAACTCGCATTTCTAAGTTCACTGTTGGGAATAGAGACGCGGGCAGGTGGCAAGCAGGAAACGGCCTGATTTCGCCTTTGCTCTCTGTGGGGCCCCGATGACACTGTGTTTGAAGGTGACGCGCCATATGTGAGCCATTTAAAGAAGAGGCACCTGCTCCCCCCGCACCTCCCAGCCCCAGACAGGGCGTCCGGAGGAGCAGGAGCCTCGCGTGGGTTCCGTGCAGGCCCCCAGCCAGGCGCCTTGCTCCCGGGACGGCCCGCTCGGGGACTCTGGGAGGGGCGAGTCCTCCGTCTTCACTGGCACCGCTGGGGGGCCCCAGAGTCCCTAGTTGCTTGACATTGTGGGTGTGGAGAGGAGACCCAGGGGGCTCACCAGTTGACGGGTAGAAATTCAGACTCCAGGTGCCTGTCCCGCGGCCTCGGTGGGGTGGGGTGGGGGTGGAGGGAGCGGGGAACGTGCGCGTCCTTCCAGGCGAGGGGGTCCGACCCTGCTTCTCGGGGAGAGGGCCTCATGGTCCCTTGTAGAGCGATGGTAGCTGGTGACAGGTCGTGGCTGGGAGAGCAGCCCCTTGAGTGCGAGAGCGTGAGGAGGGGTTTAGTGGGCTCGTTGGTACCCGCAGTGACCTCTGGTGAGTGGCCATGCGAGGCAGCGCTCAGGGGAGGCCCCGAGCCTGCCATGGGTTCCGGCCGAAAGCGGTTTTCATGGCCACCCAGATGCATGTCCTTATTGGTGACGACATCACTGTGTTCTAGAATGAAGCAGGAGTCGTCCTCCAGCGATGAGGAGCACTCAGCCGCCAGGCCGTCCAGCGCCCCCCTGATGCCCCTGATGTCCAACGTCGGCTACAAGAAGACCCTGCGGCTCACGTCAGAGCAGCTGGTGAGCGGCTCCGTCCTCCCTGGCCTGCACGTGGCCCTGGCCTGCACGTG